GTTTCATGGCAAGTAGTTTGGAAAAATTAACATCCTATCTTAGTGATGAAGATAAATCTATAACTCAAAAGTATTGTAATGATGATATGGAGAAATTCCAGCTTTTGACTAGAAAAGGAGTTTTCCCCCACGAGTACGTGGACTCTTGGGAAAAACTCAATGACACGCAATTGCCTCCAACCGAAAAATTCTATTCCAAATTGCATGATGAGGGTATCTTAGCTGAGGATTATGCACATGCGCAGAGAGTTTGGGACGTTTTTGATATCACATTTTTAGGTGAATATCCCGACCTCTACCTGGCAACAGACATCGTACTTTTGGCAGACATTTTTCAAAATTTCAGACGTACATGTTCTTCTGTATACAAACTCGATCCCCTGCATTATTACACAGCACCAGGATTAGCATTTGATGCTATGCTGAAATGCACTGGTGTCAACCTTGAGCTTCTCACAGACATTGAGATGCATTTGTTTATTGAGAAGGGGATTCGAGGTGGAGTGGCTCAATGCTCAAATCGGTACACTTTTGCCAACAGCAAGTACATGTCAGGGAAATTCGACTCTAGCAAAGAGACCTCTTACCTCATGTACTTTGACGTGAACAACTTGTACGGTGCAGCCATGTCGCAGTACTTACCATATGGATCATTCCAATGGATTGATCCATCGATCATTGACGTACATAAAATTCCAGATGAGTCGAGCAAAGGGTACATCCTTGAGATCGACCTTGAGTATCCCAAGGAGCTCTTTGAGACTCATAAAGATTTACCACTTTGCCCGGAACATTTTGTGCCCCCAAATAAGAGAATCACAAAATTAATGACAACATTGCTTCCTACGAAGACCTATGTGATTCATTACAAGAATCTCAAGCAATGCTTAAATTTGGGTCTAGAATTGACAAAGATTCACCGAGCACTGGAATTCGCCCAAGCCCTATGGTTGAAGCCGTACATTGACCTCAATACAGAATTGAGACAGAAATCCGGCAATGAGTTTGATAAATTTTTTTTTAAATTAATGAATAATTCAGTTTTTGGAAAAACCATTGAGAATGTTAGGAAACAAAAAGACGTGAGGTTAATCACGAAATGCGAAGGAATGTAAGGAGGTAAAGTTCGCATTGCTCAACCCACTTTCCACAGTTGCACTATTTTTCATAATGACTTGGTAATTGTTCAATTGGATCGTACGAAAATGTACTTCAACAAACCCATTTATGTTGTTTTCTCAATTCTGGATTTATTCAAAATATTCATCTATGATTTCCATTACGAGTATATTAAGAAAGTTTTTGATTATAAGGCTAAGCTTATGTATACAGATACAGACAGTCTTCTGTACGAGTTCAAAGTACCTGATATTTATGAATATATGAAACGTGACAGTTCGAAATTCGATACATCAGATTATCCAAAAGATAATGAGTATGGAATGCTACTTGTAAATAAGAAAGTGTTAGGACTTATGAAGGATGAATGCGATGGGAAAGTAATGAGTGAATTTATTGGTTTGAGAGCGAAATTGTACACATTTAAAATTTATAGGGATGGGCGAGAAAAGAAGCGTGTCAAAGGAGTGAAAGGGTCGACACTGAAAAGGATTACGTTCGATGATTATAAAGACTCTGGATAATCATAAACATCTTGTAGAATCACAATATTTAATCAAGAATAAGAATCATGAAGTTCATACGGTGCACCAGAACAAGTTAGCTTTAAGTTGGCAAGATGATAAGAGAATCCTCTGTGCAAACTCTTACGACACTGTTCCTTATGGCTATTGTAAATAAAAAGACATTTTTTTTTCTTTTAAAAAATTACATTTCTTATTTATCCAACTATTGTGAGAATTATCGAAGCCCAACCATTTAACTAAAACTTTATTTCCACGTTTCTGAAGTATCTTCTCCACGAGATAAACGTCAGGATAAGAGACTTTTGTCAATTCCTCCTGATAGAATCCACCCTGAATTGGTCTACCCTCGTAATCTGTGAGCTTATAGGTGACAGGATTGGTTTTCACTACTTCATTTATGGTAAATATCTCCGTTGTCAAGTTGGGTGTATATCCTTTCTCGAACACATTCTTGTACTTTCTGATGCGGACCTTATCTCAAACATTGAACTTGATTTTTCTCGTGTAATAACCTTTTATTTTTCTATAGATAAAACGTAAGAGGTACTTCTTATGAGCAGCAGTGACATCTTTACATTTCATATGAATTGTGAGATGCTTACTATTATTGTAAGACTCAACCAGCATCTTGACTATAGGAATCCACTTGTATGTCCCTTGTAAACTGAACTGCATCCACATTTTTTCTTTAAGCGTGCGATGAAATCGTTCACAGATGGACGTGTTACATCGTAACACCTGTGAAGGGTTGAGGCTGCGTTCACATGCTGGCGACAAGCGGTGGCAACACTTTACACGCACCGTTTTTGCTAGTGTGTGCGTGCGCCGACGGCTTCATGTAGGCGACAAATGGTGGCAGCACCTCACAAGCACTGTTTTCGCTGGTGTGGGCGCGCGCTGACGGATGCATATGGCGTCAGTTAGTAAAAACCGACACTGAAGCGTGTGTAGAGAACTAACAAAAATCCAAGATTTACAGAGTCATCTTAACTTAAAACCTAACAAAACCAACAAAATCAACAACTTAAAATAACTAATAACAAATATAGTGCACTAGTCAACGATAATTCAAAGCAAAGTGGCTAAGAATTTACAACCGAAACCAACGAATAATCATCGGCACGGAATCACACGGTTTCGTGTCCTCACGTGGCACAGAAGCCACGCTCCCAAGGACGCAATCAACAAATTGCGCCAAACAACCCCCAAATTAGCCTGCATAATCAATATGTAGACGCGTGCTAGCCGTTGTCTTGAACCGTTAAACAACTAAAAATACATTCTGTTGTATGTATGTGTGTGTGAACCCACGTGTGACACCGCCATTCGCAGTGAATCCTCCAACTTAGTGTATTGATAATAAATCTGGGTTTTTTATGCCGAAAGGCTTTTTCCCACAAAACTGTGTTCTTTCTTTTTTTTATATATAATTTAATGCAGCTATCATACTACCTAGGGTATGATAGACTTCAACGTCATTTCATAGTGCCTCCTGTGAGGTTTGAACTCACGACCCCTGGTTTAGGACTGTGAGTGACGTGTGCACACAAATACTTTAAATAAACAAAACGTTCTAAAAACTCTCAAGTCTTCCTCGACGAATCATCACGTCAAGCAACACTTATCATCCATCAACCGTCACTCCCGTTCCAGGAAGCATCACCGTCCAGCAGGTCTCCGCATCGTGAAATAGTGAAAAAGATAAGTCTGCTACATTCATCTTACTTGCATTCAATTGTTCAATTTTGCTCATTTTGTTGTTATTTTCCCATTCATTCATATTGTTCATCTTTGTGTTCCTGTCGTGTGAGTAGACAAGTCGTCTGCTCGCGCGCATGCGTCAGCCAGCGTATCTGTGGAGTTCACAGCATTAACACGCGTTGAAGTGAATTCGTTATTTGTTGATAACATCTTCCCTTTTCAAACGACTTACTTTTATTGCAATTTAACGCAATTTAATTAGGTTTTAGTTCATTATTTGATACATTTTAATGGAACCTAATTGCTTTTTCTCAGTTGATTAGTAAATTTAATTATCATAAAACAGTTATTTCATCTTTTCAAGTATTTTATTAATTTCTACAGAGTTACGTCAGTTCCATTAATTTAAAATCCAAGCCTTTTTATAAGAAATTCAGAAACTGTAAACTTTAAAAAATGGAAGTTTCTCATGAAGAGAGGAAACGCGTTGCGTACCTTCAACAAAGATTGAATTCTTTTACCATTCAATTAGAAAAATTAGAACAATACCTAGAAGACCTAAATGTTGATCCCATAAATTCTAAAATGCGTCTGGACAGTTTGTCAATAATTTATGAAAATTCCTTGAAGTACAACGAAGAGTTAATCTCACTCCAACGCGAGAATCCTCAAGTAGACGCTTTTTTGGATGTTGAGACTCGATATTTCGAGGTGGCTAGTGCAGTCACAAAATTGCAACGAGTCGAGCCACTTCTAAGTTCTACTTTGAACCCTAGCAACATCTTCTACATCCAACAGCGCTAAACAATGACTAGCACGTCAGTCATACACGACTGGCGCCTTCCCATCTGATTCTCAGTTGATGACCACAGCAGTTGTCAAGGTTCGAAACAATCGAGGTAATTTTGTCGTGGCACGTGCACTATTAGATTCTTGTTCTATAGTAAACTTAATCACAGAACGATTCGCCAAGTCACTTCAATTATCCACAACTAGTTGTTCTGTTAACATTGGAGCAGTTGCCGGTCTGTGCACTGTTTCGAAAAACTATGTTCAATTAGTTCTTTATTCAAATTACAATAACTTCAAACAACAATTAAATTTCTTACTAGTGCCAAACATTGCCGATGCAGTGCCTAATGACACGTTCCCTCAAAATCAATTCAACATCCCTAAGAATCTTCAACTCGCTGATTCTCAGTTTCATCTACCAAGGTCAATCGACCTTTTGTTAGCTTCTAATACCACGTTGTCGGTTCTGTCCATTGGTCAGATTAAACTCTTCTATAAAGATTCTGCCATCGTCTTACAGAAGACTCGTTTAGGTTCGATCGTCGCCGGAGGGTCTGAGATGCTGACTCTTCAACAACCACTCCTTGCAATGTCGTCAAATTGGACAAACTTATTGAGCGTTTCTGGTACATCGAAGATTTTGATCATGAACCCGTTCGATCTCGTGATGAAATTTCTTGTGAACAACACTATGTTACACATACCAAACGTGATGTTACTGGAAGATACATAGTGCGACTTCCATTCAGAGATTCCAAATTCAATCTAGGTGAATCTCGTAGGCAAGCCCTCAAACGATTTTCTTTCTTAGACCGAAAACTTTCATCGGATCCTCCACTGAAATCTGAGTACATCAGAGTGATGGAGGAGTACATTTCTCTTGATCATATGACTCTTTGTGATGAAACTGGAGGTGGGTATTATCTTCCTCACCATGCCGTCATCAAGGATTCCAGTGAAACCACCAAGGTTCGTGTAGTGTTTGACGCCTCGGCCAAAACTTCTACGGACATTTCGCTCAACGACACCCTCCTGGTTGGTCCCACTATCCAAAACACCATATTCGAACAAGTTCTTCGATTTCGCACTCATCGCTATGTCATCACGGCGGACATTGAAAAAATGTATTGTCAAATCCTGGTTCATCTAGATGATCGACAGTTCCAAAAGGTCTTATGGCCCTATCAGGGCAATCTTCGAACTTTCCAACTGAACACTGTGACTTATGGTACAGCCGCTGCTCCATTTCTAGCAGTTCGTACGATCCAACAACTTGCTCGTGATGAAGCACACGATTTCCCACGTGCCAGTAAACTTCTTTTCCATGACTATGACTATGTCGATGATTTCATCCCTGGTGCCGATTCTTTAGATGAACTCTTAACTATCCGTGTTGAGATGATTGCTTTATTATCACGCGGTGGTTTTGTCATTCGTCAATGGTCGTCTAATCATCGTTCAGCTTTGAACACCATCGATAAAAGATTCTTCAATTTAGACTGTTTGATCAAGAATGATACAGTCCAGAAAACCTTGGGAATCATATGGGATGCCCAAAATGATCTGTTGCGGTACACCTTGAGTCAGGTTGATCCTAACGTCGCTGCAACGAAACGCAAACTCCTCGCTGAGTTGTCGAAAATCTTTGATCCTTTAGGGCTACTAGGTCCTGTAACTTTATTCGCTAAAGTCTTAATTCAAGACTGCTGGAAGGCTAAGGTCACTTGGGATGAATCTCTTCCTCAGGAGGTTCACACCAAATGGACATCGTTAGCACTTCAATCACCAAGGTTACAAGAAATCTCATTTTCTCGACAAATTCTGATCTCTAATCTTTCTCGAATCGAAATCCATGGATTTTGTGATGCCTCCATTCATGCATATGGGGCTTGCCTGTATATCAAATCCAGCAATTCACAAGGTGATGTGTTAATCAAACTGGTCTGCAGTAAATCTCGAGTAGCACCCTTGAGCGGACTTAGCATTCTTCGATTGGAACTCTGCGCAGCCACCATCCTCAAAAGGTTATATCTCGAAACTAAGGATCAGTTGGACTTCTCCATTGATCAGGTTTATTTGTGGTCTGATTCCACTATCGTTCTTTGCTGGTTCAAGAAAGCCCCTCATCTTTTAAGAACTTTCGAATTAAACAGGATTGCAGATATCCAAGTTTTAGGAAATCAAGTTAGCTGGAGACACGTCCGGTCTGAGGACAACCCAGCTAACGCATTGTCTCCAGGACAACTTTCATCCGACTTCGTCAAAAATTCTCTCTGGACTTCAGGTCCTAGATGGCTAGTTCTCGATCAATCCCAATGGCCGCAGTCGATCGGACCTTCGGTCACTCAAGTGCCTTGGCTAAAAAAGAGCATCTGCCTACTCACTAACATTTCATGTGAATCTATTTACGCTCGTTTCTCGAACTTCGAACGATTTGTACGAGTTGTTGCTTACATCCTGCGTTGGAAGAATCCACAAGCTCCTCGCAATCATCCACTCTCTGTTGAGGAAATCTACGAAGCCGAATATCGCATCTTCATGATGGTTCAGCGTGAACGATTTCCCATCGAACTCCGAAAGCTTTTGACCAATCAATCTTCAGAAGGTTTAGTCCCTTCATGTTTGAGGGGAACTCCATTTGATCAATTACATCCATTCGTGGATGACAAGGGAATCCTCCGTGTGGGTGGACGTCTCAAAAGGTCGGAACTTTCCTATAATCAAAAACGTTCCATTTTGTTGCCCAGTAAACATCCTGTTACGGATATGATCATTCGACAGGTTCATTATTCAAAGCTCCATGCACGGATCCAAAGCACTCTCCACGCCATTCGAACCAAATTCTGGATCTTAAATGGTAAGGATCAAATTAGGCAACTTGTTCGTCAATGTGTTGAATGCACCCGCCAGAAACCAAAGTCGGTTCATGCTCAGATGGCTGATTTGCCTAGAGCTAGACTTAACGAAGCACCAGCTTTCTCTCGAACAGGTGTCGATTTCTTTGGACCAATTCTCATCAAGGAGAAGAAAGATCGCAACCGATCCTTCCTCAAAACCTACGGTTTTGTGTTCGTTTGCATGGTTTCTAAGGCCGTACATATCGAGCTTGCCACGGACCTTTCCACAGAAGGTTTTGTATCAGCTTTTCGAACGTTTGTCAGTCGCAAAGGGGTTCCTGGACATGTCTACTCTAACAATGGAACAAATTTCTTTGGAGCGAACAGAGAACTCAGCGAACTTTATGAGCTCATTTCCACCCCTGATTTCAAAGAGATAGTAGGAAACTACGCTTTCTCCGGGCGCATCGACTGGCATTTTAATCCGCCACTGTCTCCCCATTTGGAAGGGATTTGGGAAGCGGCTGTAAAACGTTTTAAGCTTCACTTAAAGCGCATTTTGAAGGATCACAAGTTCACTTATGAGCAACTTAACACCTTTCTAATCGAAATCGAAGCGATCTTGAATTCGCGACCTTTATGTACTCTTTCAGCCGATCCCAATGATCCCTTAGCAATAACTCCAGCTCACCTGTTGATAGATAGACCATTCAACGCTCTGCCCGAAAAATCGTTTCTTTCAGTTCCAGATAATCCTTTCTCTACATATAATTTCATCACCAAGGCCAAACAAGATTTCTGGAATAAGTGGCACAAGGAATATCTCCACGAATTACAGACTCGTCATAAGTGGCAGGACTCCACTGCTGAACTCAAACTGGGTTCAGTAGTCCTTCTCATGGATGATCGTGTCACCTGTGCAGGATGATCACTGGGAGTGATCGTCGAAGTCTTCCGTGGGAGTGACGGCATCGTCCGAGTTGCAAACGTAATAGAGCACATCAGGGCAAAGGTTTAGTGAACAGTATCATTAATAATCTTCTTTTAAAATTACATATACCAGGATATCAGTATTGTGGTCCGGGTACGAATCTACTGAAACGATTGAAACGGGGTGATTCTGGCAATATTCCACTTAATGCAACCTGTAAAGAACACGATACAGCCTACTCTAAAAATCGAAATAATCTAACTGCGCGACACGAGCAGACAAAATTCTTACAGAGCAAGCCTGGAAACGAGTCGTATCAAAAGAGGCAAGTCTTGGGGAGAAAGCTGCTGCTTGTGGCGTAGCTAACACCATGAAATAAAAAACCTCTCTGGGCATGGGGATAAAACGAAGAAAATTTAGAAAAATTCAATCAAAGAAATTTAGAAAACAGAATTCAGAAATAAAAAAATGAGTGATTAAAATTTGATATTAAAAAATCAGAAATTAAATAGGAAAATTCAAATATCAGAATGCAGCCACCAAAACGAACAAGTGATATAAGATGGCAGATGATTAAATAGAAATCCACATTATCAACCCAATTCCCCCTAAACTCACCTCCCATACTGACAGGTGGCGCTACACTTCCCTCCAGATTCAAATTTCCCACCAAATATGAACTCCATTTGAATTTTCCCGCTCTTTTCAACTACCACCAATCCTCGCTCGTCGCATCAAATGGCCACTCCTCAATGTGCACGGCTCCACCAATCCCATCACGCTACTTCTCCCTACTCACCGTCGCCCCCCCCCCTC